GGTCAATCTTGGGAACCACATAAGCTCCAACAAGAGCGAACCTGTAGTCCGCATGATCTGGATCAGCTCCTCGTTGTCTGAACGGCCCACACACATCCAAGCTCAAACAGTAGCTTGAAGGAGTCTTGATCCGGACGTGTTCGCGTCCGGTTCCACTAGATTCCACACACGTCCTGCATTTGCGGTTGTAGGGCTGGTGGTTGTTCCGGACGTGGATCCTCCACTGCTCCAGTTCGCGGTCCGATAAGGAACCCAGAAAAGAACCTGCGTCCATCTTCGCCATCCACTTTGAGACTTGTAGTGATTCTGGTTCCCGCAGCCATTTGTTCACAGCCACCATAGTCTCCTCTTTGAAGTCGTCAGTCCATCTCCCTGTAGTAGTAGATGTCGTGAGGTTGCCGGGTTGGTAATCCAGGTTGGTAGCCACCGCTTCGTACTGGTACTCCAGGCACATAACGTCCATGAACCTTGGCCACGCTCGCTGCAAACCCGTTGGATTACGCCCTTCAGGTCGATTGTTCATGTAGTTCATCATTTTCATTCCCTCAAACATCACGAACGCTGGCGTATCCATGTAGTAGGCCCGCGCGGCTTTGGCTATCATTGACAACCACATCGCCTTGGCAATCAGCTCCTCGTCCACACTTGACCGCATAGGAGGCGACGCCATATAGCCCTTCACACGTCCCGTAGCTGCCGCCCACAGAAGAGCTCGATATACTCCCGCAGGGTTTCGCAAGTCAAACGCCTTGGATCTCACAATGTCCACCTCCACAAGCACGGCACCATCCTCCAACGGCTTGAACTGTACTGAACCATCAGCTGGGCCCGCGAACAAGTTCACGACCCACGGGGCTGTCATGAGCCTCTTTCTCACTCTCCTCGAAACAGGCATCGCCTTCAAGTAGCTCCACCCCGCCTTGTCTTTCAGCACCACATCCTCCGCCACAGCACCCATTATCGACGCCGGCAGCGAACAGAAGGGTGAGTCCTCCGCCTCCAGCGCCTTGAGTTGCTGTATCCTGTCGCCCTTCTCTAGGAACATCTCAAGGTGACGGGACCAGGTGAGGTCCCGGTCCCAAGTCCATAATGTCCTCTGCATCGCTGCGTTGGACCGCTGTAGTTCCTCCAAAGGGCATTGTCCCACAACCTTGGGTCGGATGACCCCGTGTACAGGATGAACAATCTCCAACCCTCGGCGTCTTCCCCAAGTGAGCTCGCAGTTCAGGTCCTGAACGAGTGACCCCAACGGTACGATAGGACAGGTCAAATCTTGATCTGTTGACTTCGTCGCCAAGAGCGTGCCTCCGCGGTTCTGGGCCAACGTCACGTAGTCACCGGTAGCCAACTGAACTCTCACCCGAGTTGCTGACCCAACCTCGTCTGGCGAGGCCGTTCTGAAAGCATGGGAGGCTCCTGAGTCCAGTAGGCCTGACCTTCCCGTCTCCGGCTCCATTCCCAGCGCCCGGGCCTGTGCATTGATATCCTCCATACTCAGCATCCTAAGCTGCCTCATCTCCTTGAGCATGGTGTTGGCCTCCCGAATCAAATGGCGAAGATCATCTTCTCCTGGTGGATTGTTGGCCTGCTGATTCGATGGCTCGGTTGTAGTAGAGGAGGAGGACGGCGCAGCTGCAGCTCCTGACTGGTTGGCTGTAGGGGACGTGGTCGCAGAGGATGTAGTTGAAGGAGGCGCCGGATGAGAACTCTCAGGGGCAAGGGTGGCCACCATTGGCGTTCCCGTCGGCAGCTCGTTCTTGTTGCCCCTGTTAGGGCTCCGTCCACCTTGGGGCTTCTCCTTAGTAGGGCAGCTCTTTGACATGTGGAGCTTGCTTCCGCACGTCCAGCACCGGCCCTGTCGCTGCTTCTTGTCCACATCGTGATTGTACTTGCAAGACGACCCACGCCGGCACCCTTGATCGGTGAGGAAGAACTTGCACGGAGCCCCTTTCGCCTTGTTGGGAGAAACCTCCCCACCAACTCCTTCGCCGCCCGCTTGGGAGGTCGTAGTAGAGGAAGTAGCCGTCGTTGCCGCCCTCAGCGTAGGTGTGGTTCCAGATTTGGTTCTTCCCCTGAACGCCACTTGCTCAAACTCTGAGAGAAGTGACCGATGAAGGTCTTCCACAGACTGCTGGGAGGGCTTCACGTCAACCTCCAACGTATAGCCGGTCATATTGATGCGGAAGAGGATCTCGCTGTGCTCCTTAATCACACGCTTCACAATGCTGTCTAGTCCACGAAGAAGAATGCTTGGATCCGGTCGTTGTAGTCCAACATCCCCGGCACGACGTAGCCATCGAGACCATCGCCTCAAAGCGTCAACCGCTTCACTAGCAGTGGTGGCCTCGGTTGGCATCTCGAGGGCCTTGAGGATCTGCTGTCTCTCCGCGGTGCTGCCTGGGCGATAAAGGACCATGACCCTCCCCAAGACTTGCAACGCCCCTGTCAGGCGTGATGCCAAGATCTCCGTTCTCACTGACTCCGGCAGGCTTGCCAGCAACATCGAGGTAGCACGCTTGTCCACCCTCGTCCACTTGTCCTCGTTGACCACCGCGCTGGCGAAGCTTTCCGGTCTCAAAGTGAGCTTCGTGAGGTTCGAGCTCTTCAAATAGTCCTCGTAGAAGCGGTCAAGGCACGAGAGGACCTCCTGCCACCACACCGCCGAGGAGTTGCTAAGATCCCCCATTGGGCACTGAAGAGCATGAAGCCAGTCCCCAACATCGATGCAGGAAGTCTCTGACAGCTCCGGTAGGCGGGGTAGCTCAGATATCCCAGGCTTCACCTGTTCGGGCTCCGAACTCCGGCTCGTCATAGAAGCCGCCATTGCACTTTGCAGCTGAGCCATCCCCTTCGCCAGCATATCGAACGGATCCATCGGAGATCTCGTCGTAGATGGCGCAGGCTGAGACATGTTCGAGGGCTTGGTTCCCTCTCCGCCTTCCGCATGGGGTGCCCCATACAACATGGAGCCACCAACTTGCACTTCTCTTCGAGGCTCATCCTTGGCTTCGTCGGCCAACCTCGAAAACCCGCTTCGGCCCTCTCCCGCACCACCTTGTGCAGGAGCCGACGACCCGGCTTGTCCCATTGAGGCATGCCCTTGAGCTCCCTGCTCTCGCAGTAGGCCTAGACCACCGCCGCAAGGTTGACCTCCTTGAACACCCGCGCCTCCTTGAACATCGCCTGGATCACCCCCACGTTCAACTCGAGGCCCGTGGTAGCCTGCTCTTTCTCCTGCCCCGCTCACTTGAACAAGGCCTGGAGGCGGACGCACCATTTCACCACCTTCACGTACTCCGCCGTCATCACCACCTGCACCGCAAGGGGCCCGTGGAGGTCCTGCAGGAACTTCCCCTCGAAAGCCGACGTCCATTCGGCCTCCTTCTCCTGGAAGATTGCCTCCTCTTGGCAACGACAAAGTCGTGGGCGGTTGGCTTGCCGTCCCTTCGTTACGAACAGCCGCTGCTCGCAACCACTCATTCTCTTCTCGCAAACTCGCCATTTCGCGAGTGTGGGCTTGCATAGCCATCTGAACTTGCCGTCGGACTTCTGCCAGCACCTGATCCTGAGTAAGCGAACCCGTCGACGACTCAGCATCCCTCTGGCCCACATATCCACCTCCTTGCCCATGTAGAAGGGGAGCTTGCTGAGGCCATTGCTGCATCGTCCTTTCTGCCTCCTGAGTGAACAACGGGGCTTGTGTGGCCGGCGGCGAAGGAGCCGCCCAACTCGATGGTGGGGTCATAAAAGGCCTTGAAAGCGCACCTCGAGAAGGTCTCTCCAACACTGGTGCCACTGCTGCCGCTGCTTGGTTCACACGCCTCTGGAAGAACTCACCTAGCCTGACCATCCAAACAGCCTGATTTCCTCTAGGTTCTTCATGCAAAGGTAGCTCCTCGGGCGGTGACGTTGCCATACGCACAGTCACGCTCTGCTCCACAAACTGAGAAGGTGCCGAGGGTCCTTGAGGAAGGCTCGTCTGTTGTCCACGTTGAGGTACTGGTTCAGGACTAGGTAGAGGAGACGGATCATATAGAGGCTGGGTTCGTTGTGCTGGTAGCGGAGCGTTCGCAGCTTCAAGAGAGGTCGGAAGGAGTGGGGTCTGCGGTTGCTGCTGCTGCAGTTCTGCATGCTGGTGTGCACTGTGCGAGCCATGTGTGCTCTGTGCATCGTCTTGTTCTCGTGGCACTCCCACAGTTACAGCTGCAACAACTTCGTTTCCAGAGACAGCCCTTTCTGCAGAACCGTATCCAGCTGAAGTCACACCCACTGGAGCCTGACCATTCAGAAGCGGTTGGCCTTGATCTCGCCGTTCCGTCTCGTACGAAGGTCCGTGGCTCTCACCTTCCAGCGTCCCCTGAGCTTGGGAACTCATAACCTGAAGATTATCAGGTCTCAGGGTCGGCACCGAAGCCCATGTAGCGCAGAGGTCTTACACGGCTGTTTTTCGCAAAAGGCACTGTTAAGCTTATCTTCAGTTCGCTGTACACTTAAGATGCGATATGCTGCTATTGCGCAACTCCTGCACCTGGTTTGTTGCTGCTGACTACGCCTTGAGTCACAGCTCACACGAATTCGAACATGAGTAGCGAATATTCTTCAGGTTCCTTTAAGGGTTCCTCTAGGGGTTCCTTCAAGGGTTCCTTTAAGGTCTCGTTCAAGGCCTCTTTTAAGGGAAGGGCTCCTTTAAGCCTCAACCGGGGGAAGCCAGACGCCAGTGACTCTAAACCCTAAGCTTTCACCCCAGGCGTTGTGGCCCGAGGTGGTAGTTTCTCTTAGGAGTCCCACCCGTGCCTTCGACCCCAGCGTGGCGCCGCTCATCGAGGTGCCCGCGCTCATTTTTTCTGGTGCAGCCGACCCGCGAAGGGGCTGCTAAGGCTTGATCTGTACGCTCGGCGAGGATCTTGCCTTTGTCCTCACTTCGGTGACTGGACCCTTTACACTGCGCTTGTTTTGAGGAGTGGCGCCCTCCCTTTTGGATATTCTGCGTCCTTCCTCGTATGGGAACGAGGTACGCAGTGGGAATATTCATTTGGGCCCTAGTTTTTGGTTGGCAACATTCCGCGGCCCCTGGAAAGGGAGCCGGCGTGGCACCGCAGGCAAAGGCGTCTTCGTACAAGGGCGCGTACACTGCTGCGGGCTGCCAGTGCCAAGTGGGTGAATCCGGGAAAGCCTGCGCTTCGCAAAGCGGCGGCGCTCCTGCGAGCACATCACTCAACTATGAACTCGGGCTGGAGGTGCTCGGGGTGCAAGATCTACAACAAGGCCAATGCCAACTTCTGTTCCCGATGTGGAGGGGCATGGCAGAATGTATGGGAGAAGGGGACTACCTATACAGGTCCCAAGTCCCCACATCACCGAGACAGAGGGGCCAGCCTTCGGAGGCCCGGCAGGCGCCCCAGAATCCTTGGACGCCGGCAGCGGGCAAGGGGAAAGGAACACCGGCTCCTTCCGGAAAGGGACAGGGGGCCAAGGGCAAGCCGAGCTTCGCGGAGGTGGTCAAGCCTTCAGTGGACAATTTGCCAGCACCTCCTTCGCGTGTGCCCACGGTAGTGCCCAAGGCTGGGGCAATCTGGGGCACCGACCCTGGCAGTGCCCGAGAAGTCCAAGCTGGAGTCGCTCTTGAAGTCCCTGAGCGCGGTCAAGGACTCTCTACCACAGGAGGCGCTGCAGCTCTACGAGGAGTTCCAGATCAACGAGGCCCAGGACAACTCGCGAGAGTTGCACAAGGCGGTGGCGACACAATCCACTGCCCGGAAGCAGCTGATACAGATACGCTCGGCGCGAACTCTGTATTTGACTGCTTGGCAAGAGTACCTGATGGCCGTCTCCGACACGATCCAGACGCAGGTCTCGGAGCAGCAGACCCAGCTGGCCGACTTCGACAAGGCGGAGCTGGAATGGTCACAGTCCCTCACCAAAGCCTCGGGAGACCTAGCCAGGCTGGCGGCCGGTCGGGCGGAAAGCTCCCGTATGGACGACGAGGAGGACGAGATGGATGCGGCGGAGGAAATGATCGACTCCGCCATCCAGACGGAAAGGGATCTGGAGCAAAAGACTGCAGAACGGGTGGCAGAGTCTCAGCAGTTTCTGGGTGTCCTGCAGGGGCTCCGGCAGGCGGCTGCAGAAAGACTGGAGCAGGATGGCCGGCAGCGCGAGGGATCCAGGACGCCACGCAGGAAGGTGCTGGCGAGCGTGCCTACCTACGATCTCACCAAGGAGGGCATGCAAATTACTCCAGCAAGCAAGGCAGAGGATCAGCAGGCCGCCGGTGGTGGCGCGCCGTCGCCCCCTGCCTAGGCCTGTACGCGAGCTTACGAGTCCCGTGCAGGCCGTTTCTTCTCCACTCTATCGAGTGTGATGATACCTATGTCAGTGCGCTGCATGCTACCTTCTTGGGGATGCAGACCGAGTTTGAGGTCAAGTTGGATGCGCTGGATTGGGATGTTCAGCACACTTTCTTGGCGGACCCCCGCCTGCCGGGTGCAGGCTGTGGGCACAATGCCTCCTGTGACCCGTTGCTTGGCGCAAGCAACGGCATTCCTGTTCATCAAGGGCTCCCTCTCGCATTCCAGTGTTCCGCTCCGATGGGGACTGAGCGTGAGCCTGACGAGGCGAGAGATGCTCGGATGAACAGTTCTGCGTTGCTTTCGAGCCAGCATCTGAGGCCGGGACAGGTGAGCCGGTCTGTACAGTCTTCTGCCTGTACAGCCGAGAAACGAGTAGGCTTTGCCGAGCACCCCGAGGTTTTGGTGTACAGACTCGGTTCGAGACTTGCAGCTATATCCCGGTCAGCTTCAAGGCCATGTCGGTCCCCTACCAAGGGACAATCTGCCTTCTTTCCTCCGATCCCGGAGGTGCAACCAGCCTGCCATCACTGGCCCCTATCGCAGCCTGTGCGGGATGATCCCAGCACGGCACTCGACCACTGGCCTCCTCTCCAACCGAGCCCATGCCACGTGCCCTTTCTTCCACAGCGGGCATCACAACCTGGTGCCCTTTCTCTGCCATCCGATATGCCCAGTGACCCGCCCCCGCGCATACCGGGACCTAAGCCGGCGGGGTTCACCGACCTCCGGATGCAGTTGGCAGCACGGGTGCATGTCTTTCCCGCGCATCTTGATCGCCCGGAACTCCGCGGTCGATCGCTGGCGAGTTTCAGCTGGCGTGCAGGGCACAGGCTTGCGGGTGTCAGTGCGCAGGATTCAGTTCGTGACCGGTATGTTGTCTTCACCTCAGCGGACCACTGCACGACTCGGCAGCTGCCTCACGGCTGGAGCATCGATCACATCGTTGCCGACTTGCTTGGGGTTTACCCTAGGTTGATGTCTGTCAACATCCTGCAAGAAAGACTCGAGCAGCTTCCCCCCACACAGCTGACTGCCACTATGCGGGACGACCCCGCGGGGGTTAGTCATCACTCCTGTCGACTTCCGCCGTGTCCAGGGGCGGGTCTGCACCTTGCCTGTCGCGCCACTGGTGAGGTTTCAGGAGCTCGTTGATCAATGTGGGGCAGATTGCCCACCAGACCGCCAGGCTAGGCAGGCCTACCAGCTGCTCGCCAACGGCAGGGATCCCTTTGTTGAGCTGCGCCTTGGCCCAGGAGAACCTGATTACTTGCAGGCTGTGACATGCGACCTACCGCCGGCTGAACTCCTGGAGCTCCTGCCTTCTACCACCAGCACTACATCTCCACGGTTCACTGAGGACGCGGCTCCCTCTGACCTGGAACTTGCGTTGCAGGGCGCGGCTGGTCGGTCATTTCCCCAGTTGGCCGCCGTGCTACAGAACCTCGACCTGCGGCCGACAGGGCGAATCGGACCACGGCTTTTCATATGCGGGCCACCACTTTCCGCATGCTGCCAGCAATCCACATCCAGCGGACCGCAGCCTCCGGCTCTGTCTTTTTTACTGTGCTGGTTGACCCGATCCGTGCACAGGGTCATGCGCATTGGACTCTCCAGGATTTTTTCCGTGGTGCCGCCGAATACGCAGAGGCCAGCCTGCACGGGATACAGTTGCTGATGAGCCACATCCCGGGGCTACCGACCCCCCAGCTCGTTCTGTCCGAGGGTGACAACATTGGCAACGCTAGAACTGTGCCCATTGACTTGAGGTCCTATGGACAAGGGGTGCTGCCTCTCCGCCTCAGCCCGGGCACGGGCAACACGGAGCTTCTGGAGCAGGTTGTTGCTGGGGCCCCTGCACTTCGACATGACGTGTTGAGCCCCTTGACACAGCATCGCTTCTTTTTCCGGGACGCGCATGGCGCTGTGCGTACAGGGCTGCCCGATGACGTTGCCTCTATGCAGTGGTTGGAACTCTGCCACGCGCCTCTACCAACAGGGCACCTTGATCCCTTGGCTCTTTCCGTCGACTCCCACGGAGGTACTGACGAAAGCGCAGCTCTGCTACAGGTTTCTATGTCTGGCCCGGAGGGCCCAATAAGCCGTGCTGTTGATCGCCCTCTGCGAGTGCCCGGCATCGATGGAACTGCCAGTGAGCCTCCGGCTCTCCTTGGGCGGCTGGTGCCATCCGACATAGCAATTCTTTGTGCGGCGTCTGTCAAAGTCCTGCCGGATTACCTGAGTGGGGAGGCCAGCATGAACAAAGAAGTGCTTCTTTCGTCTTGGGGGGGACGTGAAGCCACGGAAACGCGGCACTTCACTGTCTTCGACGTCGTCCACCAGATTCGAGTTCTTGACAAGGGCCCTAAGTCCACGCTACAGGATTGCATTGCGTTGGCGCTGCAGGCGACGGGATTTTCGGTCGCGCACCTTCGCGTTCTCACCGTTCCTGTCCCAGGGCTCCCGCTACCACAGGTTGTCTTGCATAGGGCTGTGGACCCGGAACCTCTTGATACACTCGTGTGGGACCTGCGTGCGGTTGGGCAGCCAATAAAAACAACGGTGCTCCGGCCGGGAGTGCACCTCGCTGCTGCCTTGCAACATGTTGATGGCGTACGGCCATCCCCGCCGGGAGTGTACCTCCCATGGTCCAATGGCCAAGTCGTTGTACAGCACGTCAGGGTCGAGCACACGCTTGCTTTTGGAGCGGCTGTCTTGCATACAGGTGTGCCTCAGTCTGGGCGGGCATGGCCCCAGACGACCGCCACCACCACCAATATGCAGGCTCCACCATTGCCCCCTGGGCGGTTCCCACAATACCATGTCAGCCAGGTCCAGGCCTTACGCCTGCGTGTGGTTCGCGGCTTTCATGCTGAGGAGACGGTCGTCTCCCTGCCATGTGCCCAAGTTGACCGTGTGCTTGATAGCCTCGTCCAAAGGGTTGCTGCAGTGACAGGGGCCCTGCAGTCTCACAACCGCTTGATGATGGCCAAGGCACAGCCCTTTGACAATGTGCAGCTTCTGGAGGCTAACTTCGTCATTTCGGAAACACCTGATCTGGTCGTTGCCCTGTGCGACACCAGGCATCTATAGGTCCTTCGGGCATTTTGGCCTCGCTGACTTGTCCTTTCGGTACCAGTTGCGTGGATGCAGTTGCTACTGTTGTGCAGGGAACAGGCTGCCAAGTCTGCATCAACGGGGCCCCTCTGAGCCTCTGCCCTCGGGAACTGGAGCCGGGTGATTATATGTCCAACCTGGGACAGCCGACCTGTTTCCTCTGCATGTTCCCACAACTGTCGTGCTTGAAGCGTGCCCGCAACTGGAGGCATACGCCTACGGCCTCCCGCTTCCGGCCTCCCATGGCGCGAGGCACCGCCGGGCACAGGCAGGCTTCTTCCGCCACGAGGAAGGACGCTGTCTTATCCTCGGCCCGGAGCATGCGCCCGTGGCGTTCAGGACAAAACATGTCTACGTTGCAAGCCACGCGGAGATGAGGGAAGCCCTCGTCGATCTTGCCGAATTCCCTGCAAGGGACTGCGCGATTATAGGGGCAGGTGCACAGTTCCGGAATGAAAGGATTACAGCTAGGTTCGTGTCGATAGCCAGAGGCAGCACATTGTCGACAGTCCTGCTCCCGGCATGCGGGTGGGACGATCATTTCGCGGTGCTTCTGGTCCCACCCAGGGCTGCCTCCCTTGGCCCCCTTCCCATTGCACCCTACCTGCATGTCCTTCCGGAACGGCGCTGGCAGTCGGGCATGGTCCTCCGGCTTTGCCTTACCACTACGACAACTAGCACCCAGACTGCTGCTGAGCCTGAGCAAGCAGCAGATACGGCTGATAACCCGGTACTCCCTGCCTGCTCCTCTGTTTCCCATGCGGCCCCGCACGTGCTCACGGGTGACATCGGAGCTGCCTCTGACCGTCCCGTGGAGTCGACTGCTCCACCCCCTGCTCATGTGGGTGCGTCCGACTTCGACGGCTCCCCTGCGGGTCCGTCCGATGGCGTCAGCCTTCTGCAGCGTCAAGCAACTTCAATTCCCAAGCCTGGCGACCAGACTAGGGCCGCCAAGACTCTTGTTGCTACGCCCCACGGACGTCGTGGTATTCCGACTGCTGGAAGGTGTGCGGCTGAGCACATTGCGACAGTTGAACAACTCCCTGCCGGCCCGGGCTGCAACTCCCTGCCCTGGCAGGGTCCCGCTGGTCATTCTGCCTGCTTGCATACATTGACCGCACAGCCTGCCGTCTCCTCTGCTGAAGCTGGAAAGACACCCCTCTGTTTGGAGGACGCTGTCCCCTCTCCTATGGCAGGGCTCGGATTCGGTATTGAGCCTGGCATGCTGGATTTCTTTTTGCATGAGCATCGCCTTTGTGACCTTCCAGTGCGTCTGCCGGCGCTTCCAGACATGCTGCCTGCTGCTGCATCCGCCTGGAATTCGATCCCTTCTTGGGATTGCCAGTTTACCCTACAGGCTCTCTACGCCTTCACAGACGGGTCCTTCTTCCCGGGCAGTGAAATTGCGGGGTGGTCAGTCGTGTTACTGGGCCTGACGGACCGCGGTATCGTTCGGGTCGGTTTTGTGGGAGGCACATGCCCAGGCAACTCTGCGTATGCTGGAGAGCTTTGTGCTCTCGAGCATTTGCTCTGGGGTTGCGTCCCCTTCCTGTGGTCCTGGCCAGTGACTGTACGTCGGCACTGCAAGTGGCCTTCTACGAAGCAGCCTTTGAACACACAGACGAGGCCGCTCGGGCTGCCACGGGCCTTGCCCTCGCGTCCATTGCGTTTGGACAGCCGGTGGCGCCTCTACATGTTTCGGCGCACGCTGGATGCGCTTTCAACGATGTGGCAGATGCGGTGGCCAAGGGGGCGGCACGTAGTCTGCTACCTGTAGATGCCCAACTACACCCGGCTGCTTTCTGGCAAGGTGTACGTGATAGGTTCTCGGACTGGGTATGGTTGCTAGCGCCTCGGTTTCGTTCTTGCGCACAGTTGCCTCACCTTTCCTGGCACGTGGAGCCATGCCAGCTGTGTTCTCTCTCCGAGTTCTCGGGCCGACCCAGGTCTTTTTCGCCCTGAGGGCGAGCAGCTGCACCACAGTGGGACCGTCGCTCTCGCTATTGCAAGAGACCCGGCTTCGAGGCGATCCGGTCACCACGGACGGCTCTTTTTGGAAGATCAGTGCCCCATGCACCGACAAAGGCGTTGGAGGTTGTCAGATTTGGTTGCACAAGGCACAGCCCATTGTGGAAGGATTGGTTACAAAAGGCTGCTGGAATCGCGATTCCTTCTGCAGTTCACGCAAGCTGCCAGCTGCTTGTGATGACGGCTACAGCCGGGCCCTTTCGCTTCGGTCTTGCCTCAGGACATGCGCCCCCTGCCTCTGCTCCAGCCGAAGTCCGTGCATCCTGGTGGGCCCTTCTGGCTCAACAGATCCGCCGCCTCCCTCGGGGCCTCGGGCTCTTGATTGGGATCGATGCTAATGCCCGGTTCGAAAGCGAGCCCTCTCCTTTCACAGATGCCATCGCGGGACGGCCGCTATGCGACAATGCCACCTCTCTACAGGAGTTCGCGGCCGAATTTCAGCTAGGATCCAGCGCTGCCGTCAGTGACTCGGGCGCTCAGCTGCGCACTTGGACCAGCCCTCAGGGCCGCGATGGTCTCATCGATTATGTGCTCTGCCCGAGGGAGTGGCGCGACTGTCTGGTGACCCTAGATACTCCGGATCTGGGCGATCAACACACCGGATATGACCACTGGCCGCTGCAGACTACACTCAAGGCTTGTATGGAGGGTGACATGTCAGTTAAGGGACCGACTTTCTGCCAACAGGCACTCCAGACTCCGGAGGGCCGCCATGTCGCCGCCACAGCCATCGCTACCTTGCCTGCGGTTCCTTGGGATGAAGATGCGACATCACATGTGCAGCGCTTCCATGCGCACCTGCGGGAACAACTGGCGGCCGGTCTACCATCCGTACCTCGGCCAGCTCGGCATCCCGCCGTCTCCGAGGTCACTTTGCACATGGTGCGCCAGCAGCGGATGCTCAGACAAGTCCTCAAGGCCAACTCGCGAGTTGAACGCCGTGCACTACTCTCTGCTGTGCTTGCAGGCTGGAGGGCCGGCCGCGCTGAGGCGCGTGCATGCCGTGCTTACCGACGCGCAGCGGACCGCCTCTTTGCAACCTGTGCCCAGCTTATCAGTCACGGTAAGCAGCTGAGCCAGTCCATGCTCCGAGACAAGGCAGAGTTCAGCCGGGCTCAGTTCAAGGCCGCAAGGGGCGCTGGGCCCGCCAAGTTCGCGCACCTTCTCCGGTCCATTACCCGACAAGGCCGGCGCTTTAAGCCTCCCAAGGTGCTATCGATTCTCCGACATGATGGACGGGATCATGTGGGGCATACGGCCATCACCAAGGCCCTTGGGGAATCGTACTCCCTTGCCGAGCGAGCTAGCCCTGTAGAGCCCGCACAAGTGGTTGCTGAGGCTCACCAAGTTCAGCCGCTCCTTTCTGTGTTGGAGGCCTCGCAAGCGCCGTCGGCAGTTGATCTACTACGAGGCTTTCTGGACCTCAGCCGTGCTCCTGGTGCTTCTCGTCTGCCTGCAGAAGTCTTCCTCTCCAACCCGGCTGCGGCGACCCTTGCATACTGCCCAGTGGTTCTCAAAACCCTCACTCGAGGGGTGGGTCCCCTACAATGGAGTGGTGGCATTGCCCACTCCATTCCGAAAGCCGGAAAAGATTCGGGGGTGACTTCCGGATGGAGGGCGATTTTGCTTCTCGAAACGGATGCGAAAGCATATCAAAAGGCTTGGCGGCCCTTTATGATTTCCTCGCTCGATCAAGTCCGGGCGTGCGGACAGCATGGGGGATTGCCTGGTCACACGTTGGAACAGCCCTCCGCTCTCCTTCGGTCCCACCTGCAAGGCCTCCGCGCTGCTGGCCGATCCGGCGGTGCCCTCTTCGTTGACTGCGCTGCGGCGTACTACTCAGTCATAAGGGATTTCTATCATGCCGGCCCGTGCCACCGGTGGACCCGGGACGAGCTTTGGCAACGTGCAGGTTTGTTCTTTGCTGACAGGGACTCACAGGCTGCCTTTGTTGAGGAAGTCTCCCAGGGGCAATGGCTTACCGCCATGCAACTCCCTCCGGAGGTGCACCGGATCTTGGCGGCGCAACTGCGTACGACGTGGTTCATCGATGGCAGCCCTGGAACCACTGTCTACGCAACGGAGAGTGGCACGGCTCCCGGGTCACCTGTCGCTGATGTCCTGTTTGCAGCGCTTTTTAGCCGCTTTTTGCACGGCCTGGAAGACTACTTGCGGCATCTGGGTGCTTCTCCACACGTTTCGGTCGTGCAGGACTGTCGTGCAGAAGCCCCCACATGGGCCGATGATGTGGTGGTGCTGTTTGCCTGTCGCCCCAGTGCTCTCGGCCATTGGACAGCAGGTCCTGGTGCGACTCCGATCCTTGGGCCTGTCGGCCAATACTGGTCCTGGCAAGACCGAAGCGGTTGTTGCTCTGCGGGGATCCGGCTCGCGACAAAGCCGCAGGGCGCTTCTTGCTGTTGACGCCCCCAGTGTGCCGGTTCAGGCCTCCCCAGAGACAGCCATTTCGCTGCGCGTCGTCCCAAGCTATGTACACCTGGGATCCGTCGTCAATGCTGAGGTTTCAGAGATGGAAAATTTGAGGCGACGCGGGGTCCTCATGCGTGCTTCCTTTAAGCCCATCTGCAACCGCCTCTTAAGGAACCCGTTTTTGACTTTCGCCGAAAAACGGGAACTCCTTGTTCCAGTTTTCATGCACGGCTCAGGGATGTGGCGCCTCTCTACTGTTGCTGAAAAGGATGCTGCTCAGGGCCCGCTCTGGACGGTGTATCGTAGATGCGTCCGTCCCCTGACGGGCGAGTCCTCGGCGAAGCTCACTCGAGCGGAGGTTCTGTCGGCGCTTGATGTGGCCGCTCCTGATGAGCTCCTTCGCGTGTCCTGTGCGAGAGCCTTCCTTCAGGTGCTCCGACCCGACATGCAGGCCTGCTGGCAAGGCTTTGAGGCTGATGGTGTTTGGCTCATTTCTGCTTGCGATGCCATCTCCCAGGTCT